GTACGTAATGATTTTGTATACTCTAATGTCAACGACGTGTTGGGCATCCAGACCACTGAGTCGCTACGGCCGGTCAACTTTAAAGGTCATAACAGAACCGAAGACAATGAATTGGCTCACTTTCAATTCAGAAAAGCCCTGGGTAAATACTGGCATGGAAATAGGGTTGTTGATCTACAGAACAAATTGTAAGGTATCATAATTGACGTAGGAGCTCTGGATTGTTTCAGGCGTAGGATAGACATATATATGAATGAGTTTGGGTGGATATAAACAGGAGCTCCCTCTGCAGGCGATGAGTCACAATAACGTGGCTAAAGTATGTTGCTAAAGTGGCTAAAGTACACTAGAAGGTGAAGGGACGTCGTCCCTGCACCTTCTAGTGTGTGGTCTAGTCAACAGGAGCTCCCTCGTATGGCCCAATAGGCTCTCTGTAGTTTCCTTCGTCCTCATGTTGTGTTGCCCTGCCACGGGGGGAGGGGGGGTGACTAGGGTGTCCGAGACGTATTGTCTTCATTTATCCACGTTTTTCTCGTTATCGCCCGCAGGTTGCTCAGCCGAAAAGTTCCAGGTTCGATACCCGCGTAGGGCGAGACGTTTGGCACGTTTCCTTTAACTGATGCTTCTCTTCATCAAGCAGTAAATAAGTAGCCAGGAGTTAGGCAACTATTGTGGGTTGCATCCTGGGGGAAGGACAGCCGTTGGCCTCTATGAGCTTAAGAGACTATAAGCGTGCGAACCTTCGCCAATAGAGGCCCGTTTTCTTGATTTGCCAATCCATAAAAAATCAAACCTCCTAATCTAACCGAGAATTTACGAATCCAAAACAACACACCTAACTTATCACTCCAATGCATTGAAAGTGAAGACATTTTTGAGCCGTTACTTTTCATAGCAGGATGTATTTGTAACGGTGGTTACCGTAACGTACAAAACGTGACCTGTTAGTTGAGAAAATAGATTACCTATAGCGGCCAATGCTCACTGGTCTTGAAAAAACTTGCATTTGCAAATCTTTGAGTTAGCCGTAATAACAAATCAATTTGTCCACTCGTGACTCGAGTGCACAGCTATAGAGACAATTATAATGAGGACAATAATTGATAGAGTTGGATCCTCGGTTGTAACGCTTGTGTGATCACGTCCTTCGTTGGTATCCCGCGTGTAAAGACTTAGATCCATTTAGTGTGAGGATGAGGCGGTAGAGTCTTGTCCCACACTCGGATACAAGTCACGTCATACGCAAGAGAATACGCCAAGAGATCTTGGACCCTGCCTATTAACCTAGCTCAACCCAACCTAACCCAAAACAGCCTCACCTAACCCACCCAAGCCCAATACAGTCTAACCTGAGTTAAAGAAGGCACCAAGCCGGGGAAGTCTATGTAGCACCATCAAATGTGTAGGATATTCATAAGGCGCTAAATATCACTAAGCATGCCAATATGAGAACAAAAGCGCATAAGGCGAACAATATCAAAGGAATCCGATTCACCAAGAATTCTATCCAGGAACAAGTGACCGCGAGGAACGGTCGGGAAGCAAGAGACACGCAAGTTCTAGAAGTCCGGACATTCAACTACCGTAAAAGAGACTATGTAGTTTGGACAATAAGGAGCAGGGTGGCGCTCCATTAGGTGCCCGTGAGTTAAACGTGTATGGCCAGTATGCAACATCGCCAGAGCCGTTTCCCACCGCCGGTCACGGTGGTAGGAGGAATGCCATGAGAACATGCAGTTTGTTACCAGTAACAGAAGACCAACGACCCTGCCAAAGGGCAATCAATCCTTCCTTAATCATTATTCATTACTCAATCCTTGCCCCAATCCAATGGGCAAGGACTGAGGAATGAATAACTGGGTAGAAGTCGGAATAAGTAACACCTTTACAGGTGATGGGACAAGTATAGGTAGCCTCCTTAGTGGCAGCGTCTGTACTCTCATTTAAGGACACACCAATATGGCTGGGAACCCAACACAACTCCACTGTCTTAAATCAGCTGGAGAGAAGAAACAACTAATGTTGAATTTCGACTACCACAGGATGGACTGAATTAAAGGATTCCAGAGCTATGAGGACACTGGGAGTCCTCATGGCTCCTCAATCCTCCTTTGTTGTTGTAGTTAACTAAAGGAGGATTGACAGCAAGAAAGCAGTTGATGAAGAGCATACAAAATAGCATAAAGTTCTGCCATGAAGATGCTAGTCTCCGGAGGCAGGGGACACATATAGATATGGTCAGGAAAATCAACAGAGTAACCTTCATCGTCTGCAGACTTAGACCCATCGGTGAAGACAGAAATGGAGTGGGAGTGTAAAGAAAAGTGTTCAAGGAAAATGCGTTTCAGAACTGAAGGAAGGGTGAAAAGCTTTAGTCACGTGGGTCAAGGTTTTACAAAACTTAGACTGGGGGACCCTCCATGGGGGCAAGAACGAAACGACTAGAGGGGAAATATTGGTAATACGAACTGAAAGAGAATCGTGTAAGCCAGACAACCGTACGGAAAGAGGTAGGTGGTGAAGGGGAACAGGGACCACAAGAGGGGGAAAGGTCAAAGTACAACATAAGTGAGAGGGAGGGTGTTGTAAGGACCATGCAAGGTAGCGAAGACAGTAGCGATCACGACGGTCCTGTAGAGACAAGATACCAGTTTCAACATACTGGCTTAGGGTAGAAGTCGAACGAAAGGCACCAGAGCTGAGGCATAACCCAGTATGGTGAAGAACATCAAGACAGCGAAGAGTGGATGGAGAAGCAGATGAGTAAGCAGGGCAAAGATAATCGAGTTTAGACAGAACGAGAGAGGAATGTAAAGAGAGGAGCGTTCGCCTACCAGCTCCCCAAGAAGTATGGGACAAGACCTTAAGTAATGCCTTAGAGCATTCAACTCGGAGGTAAGATATATAGGGTGAACAAGACAAACGAGTGTCAAAGATTAAACTCAAAAGCTTAGCAGAATCATTGTACAAAGGGGATTACCATAAAGCGACAAAGGGGGACGAAGAACGACCTGCTTCCGAGTAAAAGTCATATCAAGTTTTATCTGAAGAGAACTTGAAGCCATGATTGGTGGCCTATTCAACACGGCATCAATCGCAAGTTGAAGGAGAGGCGAATCATTACCCCAACAATAAAGGGTAAGAGCATCGACATAGAGAGCTGAGAAGATGCCAAAAGGAAGGGAGGAAAGAAGACCATTGAGGGCAACCAGAAAAACAGGGCATAGGTAAATCTAGAAAGGATGATGGAGGGAAGGGAGTGGGAGGATGGACCAGAGGTGGACGGACAGAGTTCGGAGTGGGAGGAGGCATTGGAGAGGGGCAGTCAAGGGAATCAAGGGGAGGAGAGACAGAAACAGAGAAGGCACCTCATCAAGGGCAGTAACCGAGATCGAATGAAAGACCAAGGGAACCTCCATAGGTGGGACAGGGGGATTCAACCACTGAAATTGGAGGAGACAAAGGGATAGAGTCAGAGTCGGAAGATGAGGAAGAGAGCGATGCCTTCTTACCCACCGGGGAGAAAGGAGAGGAGCCAGGCTTACGTTTCTGACTTAAAGAGACAGGCGTACCAGCAACAACGTACTGGGCGACAGTCTCAACAGGGGAAGGAGAACGGGAGCGATCATCATGAAGATTGCCGGGAGGAGGAGGATGGACAACAGCCTGGACAGACAAGCGGTGTGGAGAGCCAAAAGATAGAGGGGAGGGCTGAGAAGAAGGATAAAGGGGGGGGGGAAGGAGAAAGGAAAGAGGGCACAGGAGACAGGGAAGACTGGGAAGGAAGGAAGGAAACACCAGACGGAGAACCAGGAGGAAGACTCTCTGGCACAGAAATTAAAGGAGCAGGTGAGGTGGTGGTGGGGGTGTCCGGATCCAAGGCCTGGAAACGGTTGCTAGACTGAGAAAGGGGGAGAGGGCGAGGAGGAGTGGAACGTAACACTCGTGTCAGCAAAAGATGGGAATGTCGTCTCACCTCAGGAAAAGATAAATGATCGCAGTGTTTTAATTTGAAGATGGCTTTCTCAAATTTGTAGTGCACACATGCGCGGGAGAAGGTAGGGTGGGCGTCGCCGCAATTGATGCAGTGAACTTGGGAAGAAGAGCACTGTCTTAGAGTAACACGAGTCTCTACACAAGCTACATAGAAACACCGCACTTGTGCGTTTGAGGGGATAATGCCCAAATTTCCAGCACCTATTGCAGAGGCGAGGAGAGGGAAGGAACTCCTGAATATCTGGCACCAGCAAGAATTATGGAAGACAGAAGGGACCTATCAAAAGTGATTTTCACAACGATCACCACCATCTGGGGGTCTAATGAACTTATCAACCTGTAGGTTAGAATGGCCTTGGGCTTCAAGGAGAGGTTTAATATCCTCATGGCAGTTTTTCAGGTTCCCTGACACCAGTCACGACATGGTGCGGAAGAATAACTATGCCTAACTGTTGTTCTGCATTGGGGTCTCCCCAATGCAGAACAACAAGGCCAAGCGGGCCGCTGCTTCATGAGACGGCGCTGCAACGACACGTGCACCAGTTTGGTTGTGGTTAAAGGTGATAAAGTTATCCACCGAATCAACTAGATGTTTATGGAGGAAAAAATCATCAGGACTGGTAGAATCAATATGTTTGAGATCAAAATACTTAGTTCATGTAGCAGGATCAAACAAAGCTTGGAACGAATTTGAGCTGGAAGGAATTGTGTGAGTGCGTCTGCAGAGGGAACAATGCTGAGGACTCCCCCCCCCCACCCTCAGTAAGATGGGAACATAAGCAAAAGTAGAGGAAAAAAGGATGGGTAGGCTTATGTTAGGTTACGTTTGTTAGAAAGTTTCGAGCATTTGAGTCTGTACTGTGAAAGGGAAGAGTCAACAGCAACAAAGCCAGGACTCAGGTTCACACTGAGTGGTTGTGTATCAAAACCTATTAGACAAGACAGCGTCTGTGAAGAGTAGAGGCAGGAAAGATTATTTTAGAAGACCAATCAATATTATGATT